CAATACTAGTATCCCATGAGGAGCACAACAGATTGGATAGGAATGTTATGTAGAAGCCAACTAAGCTCCATTAACAAAAACATTAACACAAAAGGCTCAACTAGCAACAGCTTAGGGTTTATTCCACTGCTTAATAAACTCTCCAACAAGGACTTAATGTGCCATAGTGAGATATCCACAGTTTTCACAAATTTTCTTTTACTGAAGTATTTTTTGATTGTTAGTCATTTAGCAGTAGCAAGCAATATAAAATAAGCTATTTTGCACCTGCTGTGGAGGCATGCTTGAGGGATATTTGGGAAAATCGGGACAGTGGTGATGGATTGGGTTTGGAATATTGAATGCCTGTAACAAATACATCATGAAAAACTTTGTAAACCACAGGGTTTAAGTAAAGTACAGGATTAAAAAAATGCATTTAGGTTAAGGAAACAAACGATTCTCCCTATTTATGGTATCTATAGCCTTTGTGAAAGAGAACATTAAAATATATGAGGTTACAAAAAAAAAGCCAACTATCTGTCAACTAGAAAGTGGATTCTTTCAGCAGTCACAAAATATTGTGGAGTCCTGATTTGGATTTCCCAGACTCCAAAACTATGGAGTTCAGTTTCCTTTGTAAATAATGTACCTCATATATGGTATTCTGTTGTACCAGCAATCATAGTCTAAAATACTTCCTACTTTGAATATCCTGAAATGAAGGATCTTAGAGGCTGATTTTTATCAATGTTTATTGACTAACAAGCCAGTTTTAATTAGTGTAGTTGGAAGAGTATTGATATTATGATTGACTTTCCCCTCACCAATCACTTTCTTCCATAAAAGGGATTAAATAGCACAAACATGACCATTAGTACAGCAGTACAGTTGTGATCAGTAGGCACTCATACATGTTTTACTTATGTAGAATGGATATTCCAAGTCTTTGTTTCATTCTTGCCCACTAGATTATTGAATATATTCCCATGCTGGATTATTTTCTTTCAGAAGACTGAACTTCACACTCAAGTTTGCAAATACAAAGTGGTTATCCATCATGTATATTTTTTTCAGGATAGAATTACTTCTCTAAAAATTTCTTCACATCATTGATAGATTGATGCAATTTCCCTTCTATTAGTATGTTTGTAATACCATTTTTATTTCTTACATTTAGTATCTAGGTTCAGAGCTAGAGCTTCAAAATCTGAGATTTCACTTATAGTGAATCTTACAGTCTAAATTCAGCATCATATTTAGATAGCTGTGCAGATATTTAGACACTTATACTAGTTATGTGAGAGTGAAGAGAAATCTCTGTAGAATTAAGTTGCCAGTCTCTTTTAGGTAAAATAAATCTAGTTATCGCTTCGATTTTTTATTCTGTGAAAAATAACCATGGGGAAAAACCTGCATTAGTTTTAATAGATCATTTCTTAAAAATTGTAATTTTTTTTTCTTTTTGGGTCACAATTGGCATTGCAGAGGGGTTACTCCTGGCTCATGCACTAAGGAATTATTACTGGCAGTACTCAGGGGACCATATGGGATGCTGGGAATCGAACCCAGGTCAGCCTTGTGCAAGGCAAATGCCCTACCTGCTGTGCTATCACTCCAGCCCCCCCAAAATATAATATTTTTTAGCTAGTAAAAATAACTGCTGTTTTAAGACCCACATAACCAATACATTTCTCCAAATGTCTACTGCAAAGACTGCTTACTAATGTCCAGCTTTATGGGTAAGGCAAGAGAATTTTGTGACTGTGTTACCATCTTAGTCTGGACTGTAAGATTGTAGAAATTGGGAAAGAGATGGAGAGAGAGGTTGGACAATTAACGAAAATATGGAACTCAAACTGGGACTTGCTTATCTTAGTTTGAAGGTTTGAAACAAAAAATAGCCTTTATGTTATACATGGCTACAAAATTTTATTTTAATACCATGTTAGTTTATTATCAGGAAGCTTATTTAATATTAACCGATAATAATCTCCTGAGCTGGTACTATTATACACTTCCCAAGATATCTGTTGAATGGTAAATGCATTCCTAATTGTTGGGTATAAACTATTTCTAAGTAAGTTTGCCCTAGATCAGATTTAGCACTGTAGCACTGTCCTCCCATTCATCGATTTGCTTGAGTGGGCACCAGTAACATATCCATTATGAGACTTGTTGTACACCACAAGTAGCTTGCAGGCTCTCTTGTGTGGGAGGGATACTCTCAGTAACTGGCTGGGTTCTCTGGGAGGGATGGATGAATCGAACCCCAGGTCGGCCATGTGCAAGGCAAACACCCTACCCGCTGTGCTATTGCTCCAGCCCCTGGTCCTGATTTAAGGGAAAAAAATATTAAATTACTGTGAATTGCAAAGTTAAGAAGATATTAATGTTTGAGTTTCAGGTATCAGTGTTCCTACAACAATTCCTTCACCAATGTCCACTACCCTCCACTATTGCTACCTGCGTCTGTGGCAGATGTTTTTCTCTTCCACTATTGCCCTGTTGTCTCTTCTAATTTATCCACCCACCTTAATCCCATGCCAGTGGCAAGCTTCTTACTGACGACCAGTTATTCTGCTCTTTGTTTCTATTGCCTTTAGGCATTTGATATTCCCCCTACCAAGTTTCTTTATATCCCAAATCTGACTATGATGCTGAGTCTGTTCCTCACCCTCTGACTGAGTCACTCAACAAGATACTCTCCAGATCCACTCAGAGAGCAGTGAATTGCATCACTTCATCTGTTCTTCTGGCCAACTAGTATTCCATTATGTTTTTCTGCCATAGTTTTTTTTTTCAAAGTCCAGTTTTAGCTAAGTTTTGATGAGTATTTTTCAAATTAAAAAAATTAAGTTTATTTTATTGTAGAAAAAAAGTCACAACTATTGACAGTTCTAGAATTAAAATTGATTAGATAAAAAACTAATATTAAAATCAATAGGGATTCAATAAGAGAGAGAGAACAAAAGGGAATGCCCTGCCCACAGAGGCAGGGTAGGACGGGGGGATCGGGGGTGGGGGGGATACTGGGATCCGTGGTAGTGGGAAATGGGCACCGGTGGAGGGATGGGTATTTGATCATTGTATAATTGAAACCCAAGCACAAAAATGTGTAAGTCTGCAACTGTACCTCATGATGTCTCACTATTAAAAATTTTTTACTTAAAAAAAAAGAAACAAAAAAATCAGTAGGAATAGAAAACCCATTTATGTGAAAATTATTATATTTGATCTCAGGATTTGCCAGACACATTAACAACAAAGTCTCCAATGGAGACATTACTGGGCCCGCTCGAGCAAATCGATGATCAATGGGAGGGCCTTTACTTTACTTTTACTTTAGGAGGTGTCAGAGACTAGGGGATCTATGGTCTGGACCAAAGAGGTTGCTGTGGGAGGTGGGCGTGACTGCTGGAACTTTCAGACATATGGGGGGCTGGGAAGGGACTACCCACCTAACTGAAAAATCACCAGAGTTCTCAGCCTGGATACTGGGTAACAGAAATTATTTGCAGATTGGCATGTCTGTAGAGAATATTCATGACGTGATAAAACTGAGCCCTTGGTGTGACTATAGTGGTGGGGTGAGGGTGCAGCTGCCAACACCTTGACTGAATGGATTTCTGCTGCCTAGGTGTACTCCAGAGTTTTCAGTTTTGGGGACCTGTCATTCCATTCCACGTATTTTATCTGCTTGGCCTGCATCTTCTGGGACATTTATTTGGGAATTGGTGGTCTAGGGTCAGTGTGTGAGTCTATATGGAAGTACCTGTCATTTTTTAAAAAAAAATTTATTATTTCTTTCTTTTGCAAATAAATTTCATTTCCTTCTACTAATGTAATAGGATTTTTGTACATAATTCATGCGGTCCTCAATAAAAGTTATGTGACTTTACTTGCTAGCAGAGTCTTCTTCCTTGTACCCCATTCACTGCTGAAATATCTTGAAGTTTGCTGGAGGGTACAAGTTTCTTGCTCAGGAAAATGAGCATCAAGAGAGAGAAGACTTAGCTGTGAATAAATCTTTTAGGATGGGGTGGGATGGGAGTGCTGTGGCCTAAAGAAAGTGTCCTGCAGGTAGGTAGGCACTTTGACTTGCAAGTGGTCAAACCAGGTTTAATCCCCTATACATATGTATGGTCCCCCTAGGAGTGATTACTGATTGCAGAGCTAAGAGTTAGCCCTGAGCACTTCTGGATGTGGTCCCAATTCCCACCCCCTCAAAAATGTTTCTTAGGATGGTTCACAAAGATATACACAAAGCAAGGGTGTTAGAGAAATATTTTTATGAAGTACATAAGGTCTGTGTGGAATTGTGTGGAAGCCTTAAATTGTCAGTGCTTAAACTAGAGACACAGCCAGGTTCTCTTTACACTTGCATCAGTAATTTTTAAGACTGACTGCACATTGCAACAACTTGGGGAGCTCTTAAAAAGAATTTAATGCCAGAATACAATTCTCAGGAGAAGTGACTTAATTGGTCTGGGATAGAGCCTTGTCATTTGTATGTATATTTAAAGTTCCCAGGGTGATTCCAGCATTCACCACAGATTTCGCTGGAAACCACAGACTTACATGAGTGGACACTATTTTGAAATATCTCAAGTAGTTCATGGATAAATTACTCCAATTCACTTTTATTTTTTCATATTTGTTGATTTCATGCATGTTTTACAAATATTTTACATTTTTTGTAGTTTAGAATTGAATAATTGCATTAGCTGATCATATAATACTGGAATGGGTGTATAAGTTCATGGTTCAATATTTTGGCCAAACATTAATTGATTTGTTTATACAACTTTTGTGCATCTTAATATGTGGGGTACAGCCAGGCTTATTAATTCAGGATCTATGAGATGTGAGTCTTAGGTATTTAATAATATGATTTATTTATTGCAACTTCTTTGGTAGTTCTAATGTGAAGGCAAATTTAAGACCGATAAATAGAGGTAAAATTTTGTTGTGTTCCATCAAATGACTTTAGTGAAGCACAGTTTTTCTTTCTTTTTCAGGATATTATTGATAGAATTATAATATTGAATTCAGATGCCAAGATTCATTCTTTATTCAACTATGAACAATCACACATCTTTGGTCTAAGGTAAAGTATTAAATTTCTCTTCAAGGTAAAGTATTAATTAAATTTCACCTCAGAGATATTCTTTGTTCCAAAAACAGTTAATTTATGTTCTATATATCCCTAAGTATTTAAAATAGGATCATTTAAAAAATGTACATTTAAAAGTAATTTGTCTTTTTTCATTCTTATAAGGTAAGTTGTAGCCATTAGGGTTTTTTTTTTTTGTTGTTGTTGTTGTTGTTTTTCTCTTTGGGTCACACCCAGCCGATGCTCAGGGGTTACTCCTGGCTCTGCACTAAGGAATCACTCCTGGCGGTGCTTGGGGGACCATATGGGATGCTGGGAATCGAACCCGGGTTGGCGGCATGCAAGGCAAATGCCCTATCCACTGTGCTATTGCTCCAGCCCCGCCATTAGGTTTTTATATTATGTTCTTTGTGGTTTTTAGATTCTGTATTATTATTATTGTTTTCTAATTTTGCTCAATTTATGAGATGTATTTTGTGCACAGTTCAGTTTATTTATGAGTTTACTGAGGCTTCCTTGTATTGTCTTAGAAAAGTATTTATTATTCATTGTAACACCAGAATTTGCAGAACTGTTTATAATACAGTTGTTTCATGTGCACGATGTTTCAGTACAAGTCCCACCACCAATGTGACCTTGCCTCCACCAGCGTCCCCAGTTTCCCTACCACCCCCCAAGCCTGAGCTCTCAGAAGAGACATAAAAAATTTACTTTATATTGCTAGTGCCACAAAATGGCAAATGTTAATTAGAAATACCAAAAATGGATTGATAAAATCAATTTGTGATAGCTATTATATCTCACAGTGATGTTACTGAAACTATTATTTGGGAATTTACTGAACTGGTTGTTGATACTGGTTGAGTCTTCTGTGTTATTATTTTTGCTCATTGAGCTTAGTTGGCTTCTATACAACTTTCCCATCATATTTGCAGTGCTTCTATTGGACTGTAAATACTGAGAAATTTAGAGGAGGTGTGTCGCCAGGTAAAGGTAAAGGCCCTCCAGTTGTTCATCGATTTGCTTGAGTGGGCCCAGTAACGTCTCCATTGGAGACTTTGTTGTTGTGTCGCCACTTTTGAGGCTATGATTCAAGAGCTGTAGAATTGGGGGCCATTTTTATGATGAAAGAAACTGGGTATGGTATCTGTTATTCTCTGCTAGAAAAAAGGGGATCCACCTGTCCCTATTCTGAGAAGGCCATATAGTTTTCAGTCTGGAGATCATAGACCTGATAAAATTTCTTAACTTACCTGAGATGACTAGGTGGTTTAGTGGCGTGCTCTCCCTGTATTGGTTTTATATAGGAATCCTGCCTAAATATAGACTTAAAATGGACAGGAATTAGACGGTTTATCTTGATGCCCTAATTTTTTTCAATTTTTTTAGTCATTTTTTAACATTAGTTTTCTGAGTTGTACATTTTTCAGTTTTATTTTGTGTTCATTGCCATTCCATTTGACATTTGGATGGTGATGGAAGAGAGATAGGGTATTAGAAGTATTTGTACCACAGAGATTCATAAAATTTCTTAAATAATATGTTTAGAATAATGTCTATATCTAATAGTAACTACATATAAAAGCAGATGAGTTAAGAAGGTTTTTTTTTTTTTGCTTTTTTGGGCTACACCCAGCAATGCACAGGGGTTACGCCTGGTTCATGCACTCAGGAATTCCTCCTGGCCGTGCTCGGGGGACCACATGGGCTGCTGGGAATCAAACCTGGGTTGGGCCGTGTGCAAGGCAAACACCCTACCCGCTGTGGTATCACTTCAGCCCCCCCCTTTTTTTTTAATTTATCAGTTTGTGATTCTTTGTCATCCTTTTCCCTAGCACAGGAATATTCAGATTTGAGGGGTTTAGTCAGAATTCTCAGCCAAGAAATAAAGCTATTACTTTTCTAAAATCAAAGTTCTTTGATGAACTCATATGTGTATATGGGTGTTATTTATGTATATATAAATTATCACTGTATCACTCACTGTCATCCCATTGTTTATCAGTTTCCTCGAGCATGCATCAGTAACATCTCTATTCACCCTAGCTTTGAGATTTTAGCAAGTGCCACATTGGAGTATCTTTCTGGGTAAGGGGAATGATACCCATCATTGTTACTGGGTTTTGGCATATCGAATATGCCTCGGGGAGCTTGCCAGACTGTTTCATGTGGGCAGGATACTCATGGTATCTGCCTACCAGGGTTGTCCAACAATGAGAACTAGACAATAAGAGGTCTCAAGGCCGAGAATGCAGTGGCGTGCTTCCGGGAGCGTGGTTTTATAATCTCTGGGTCTTGGCCATGCGTTGTTCTCTTCTGGGAGCTTGGTTTTATAGACTCTGGCAGAGTCTCCTGCCCCAGCACCTGGCTGTCTTCACCAAGGTCCCTTGGAGGGGGGCGGGTTGAGTTTCCCTCCCCTCCCCGAGCAGAGCCCTGGCAGCTGAAGACCTCCAGAACCAGCCAAAGCCATGCTTAAGACCACTCTCCACACGCTCGGATGAGCCTCACGCATGAAGGAACTGGCAGAGGAACCCAGGTGTGTGGGACCTGGGGCTGAGATCTCAAAGTCTGTTCAGATTGGGACTGGGCCTTCTCCACCCAGATCTTCTAGTAGCTAGGCTTTACACCCACCAACTGCCCCTGGCACAGTGTAATATGAATCATATATAAAATAAATATATATTATTGGTATGTATATATATGTGTGTGTTTATATATATGTGTGTGTATATATATATAAATGTACATACGCATATATTATTGGGGAGCACTTCCAAGCAGCATTCCACCATTGCCATTTCCTCGACTGGTCCATTGATTCAATGTTAGTATTGATATAGTGCTGCAAGTGCCCTGGGCTTTCAGATATTATCTAGATCACCTGAAGAGTGCTTGGGGGCATCTATATGGTCATACATGCAGTACTTGCGGGCCTTTAGGGTTATAGTTGATGAAGCTCAGGGAACCATAGGATCACATCCTGTGACTTGAACTGTCCTTAGATCTCTAAGCTATCTCCAACCCTCTGATGACAGCATCATAGATCTTTCTCAAACTTTTATCCTTCATGAATAGCTGGATTTTTAATTTTAGACTTTATAAATTAAAAAGATAAAGACAGATACTATAATTCCTTAGATCATGTACCCTTTATTTCTAAATATGTTTTAACATTGTTTTAATTTTCAGCATGTAGCATCAAATACATCATATATCTAGCAATGATGGAAATACTAGAAAAAAACAATTTAGAACATACTTTTACATAGCAAGTGTATTGGAGTTTTGAATTATTAGAAAACAGATTTTTCTCTCTTATCTATATTTTGTGTACGTTTCTCTTTTTATATTTTAAAGATTGGTATTTTTCTCTGGTATTCTACTACCAAAAATTGTTAGCAAAAATATTTTATTACTTCATATAAAAACTACCTAAGAAGTAAATGTTGCCGGGAATAATGTGCATTAATTTGCATCATGTCTGTTTTCTCATATTATCCAAATGTAGTCATTCCATTCTACAGTCGGGAGTTTGTCATCTGTTGTTGATAAAGTGGAGCAATTGGGTAGAGTAGTTAGTAATGTGAAGTCTGGAACAATCTTCTGTTTAGAAGTTTTGCGAGGTGGAATCTGTTCTCCGGTTGTAAAGTGGAGGATAATTATTTTCCCTTACAGATTTATGAAAATTGAGTATGAAAAATTAAATGGTCTTATAACAGTTCTTGGCACATTATAAACCCTATAAAGATGTTAGTAATAGACACAGCACTGTGTTGTTGGTGTTGCTTGCTGGATGTTTGCCCTTCATGTTTTCAGTATCAAAGTAGACTTTCCCATGGTGCCAAGTAAATTTTCATGTAAAAGAATCTGCGTCCAAAGATGAAGTCATGAAATTTGCTCAAAGGTAATGGTCATGGAGAGTATCATGCTAAGTGAAATGAGTTAGAAAGAGAGGGACATAGTATAGAATGACTATACTCATTTGTGGAATACCATAATATGTGGAATAACATAAAATAATATAATATGAAACTGACACCCAAGGACAGTAGAGACAAGGGCCAGAAATATTATTCCATGGTTGGAAGCCTGCCTCACAAGCTGCAGGAGAAGGCAGATGGAATAGAGAAGGGATCACTAAGTCAATGATGGTTGGAGGCATTGTTCAGGATAGGGGATGTGTGCTGAAAGTAGATAAAGGGCCAAACATGATAGCCTCTCAGTATCTGTATTGCAAACCGTAATGCCCCAAAATAGAGAGAGAGTATGGGGGAAATTTTCTGCCATAGAGGCAGGGGGAAGGGTGGGATTAGGGGCTGTACTGGGAATATTGGTGGTAGGAAGTGTGCCCTGGTGAAAGGATGGGTGTTCGATCATTGTATGATTGAAACTCAAACATGAAAGTTTTGTACCTGTATCTCACAGTGCTTCAGTATAAAAAGAAAAAAAGAAAAAAATGTACATCCAGACAAAGAAAATGGACAAAATAACTTCCTTAGAAAAAATATTTTAATTTCATATGTCTTTGAAAAGATTTTAACAGCAAATTAATTTCATTGTATTTTGCATCCTAGTCATGCAACACTTTACCACAAGTATAAGTTTTATTATTTTTAAAGCTTGATAGTGCTTAATTTTTCTATTTATCTTTCTATTAATTTCAGTAATTGGGGTACAGTACTTGTCATTTAAATCAGTGCCTTGTATTATGTAAATCTTTTATTTTTTCATTTTTTGTATTTTTACTGGTAATATAGGGGGTATTGCTATTTATTCAGTCACTGTTTACACTAACTGAACCAGTCATGACTCCATAGTATTCTTTATTTTTTAATTTTTTTATTGAATATCCATGAGATGTAGCACTGTAGCACTGTTTTCCCATTGTTCATCGATTTGCTCAAGCGGGCACCGGTAACGTCTCCATTGTGAGACTTGTTACTGTTTTTTGGCATATTGAGTATGCCACGGGGACCATGACAGGCTCTGCTGTG